CGATTTGTATATTGCAAATTGAGATATTAGTTTCAAACTTCTCTAATAAAATAATTGACCATTCTTTTAACCGATAGATGGCACCTCAAATTCGGCTGCAATCTCGAACCGAGAGTGGTTTATGTTGCTAACTGTTGTCGTAAGGAGCCACTCCATAATACTAGAAAAAAGACAGATTTCAACAAACTCAAAATATATTGTTACGAATTTTGTGCAAATGTAAATAATTTTAATGACATTATATGTAAATCATAATATCTCTTGTATAATGTAAACATAAAATGCCTCAAGAGAGCGAAGCTCCACCGGAAAAATAAAATTACAGCGACAGGTCCGTTTGACATTGAAGTAAACGGCTGACAAGCTAGCAATGGTTTAGGCGACTAATTTTTGTAGCCAAATTTGGCAATAAATTACCAAAAGTCCCCAAACTTGGCAGCTGTTTGACGACATTTGGGTCCGATCACTGCATAACTATAACTAGTTTGATCCCTATATGTATGCTGTCCTATATGCAACTGTAACTATATATATATACCTTCCAGCAATTTCAAGAAATCGAAGGTACTAGAAATTTCTCGGAGTCCTGGGTGAAACTCTGAGATCGGACAGAGCGTCAATTCTCCCTTTAGTTCAGAGTTGAGTTCAGTTGTTCAGAGCTTTTTAAGTTGTAAATCTTGGTTTATTATTTTATTTATTGTTGTTACTGATGTTTAACTGTTCTTCCTTTTCTGATTGATATTGTTACTTATTCTGCAGTTCGAAATTTTAATATCATTTATTTGACAACATTTTGGAATTATAGAATAGAAACATTTTTCTTCAAAAAGCGCAAAAACATATCCTTGAATCCACAGCTCAAATTTTTCAAATAATAGGTTGTTGCTCGAAATTTTTATCCCGAATGCCTTGCAATAAATGTCTCTATCGATCATTTCGCTTTTGTTTAAATTATTAAATTCATCGACATCTTCTTTGTAATTGATCGTCAAATTCCTAATAATTTTCCATTTCATAAATGAAACCGTCCTATTGTCTACTTACTATTGCTTTAAATTGCGTATGTGCTTTCACTGCATCTGCTAACTCCGCATTTAGTCTAGGTCGTCGAAACGGTCAGATTTGTATCTTTAAATCCCATTAACAAGTAGATCTGAAGAATTTAAAACAGTAATGAGATAATTTTAATTTTTGGAATCAACACTTCTTTCGTGCCTTTATCAGTACTGCATTACATTTATAAACAAGATATAGTAAGTTTTAAATGAAAGGGAATATAGACATTTGATTCCCGATACAATAATTTGATTTCGTAATTACCTGCATAGGAAAAGCATATAGAATGGATAATATTTCAATTTATAGACGTGATTCTCTCTCCCTCTCTCTTTTCCTTCTCTTTCGTTTTTCTGTCAGCATAAATTACCGCTTTCAAAAAATTTGTTTCCAGCGCACTGCTTGAAAAATGTATAATACGCGAAGTAATTCTTCGTGCATTACTCTCGTGAATTCGTACTCTGAACATAAATTATTTCCTTTCTTAATAAATAATTTATGGAAGAGTTTTTATGCAACAAAAACCAACTGAATGTACAGAGCAAGAAAAAAAAAAATTCTTTAGTCATTTTTGAGTGAAAGTCAATTTGTAGAAGAACTTTTACGGTTATGTAAAAAGTATTATAAGGTCCTTGAGTTTATGATTTATATAACCAGCGATTACTACAGATTTTTGATTTAGATTTTAACTTATTCTTTACATCTTATATTTTTACTATAATGCTTTAATAAAGGATTATGTTTGTCTTCAGTTACATATCCTTCTTTTATTATTATTTATTTCAGAAAAATCGCTCCTTTGCGTTGTTGCATTTATACTGCATTCTTTTTCTTTGATTATTAAAGGTATTTGTAGAAAATAACTCGACAGGCTAAAGTTATTGAACTCTGAATCAAGAAAAGTCACTTAAAAGTTTTATGAATAATAGTAGGGGAAGCTTAATCGGATCTTGGTTAATGTTATCATTCGGTTATTGTAATCGAATTGCCGAAGTTCCGTCCATCTTTATATGAAAAATGGAAGATGAATCGCTTATTGCGATAAAAATTTTGTTAATATGATCAATATATTACAGAATAAAATTTTTAAATTAATATCGCCAAATAAGGTCGAAATGGAGTAGAGATATTGATAAGTGGTAAAGCTATGTAACTGAATAAGGGCTTAATTTGCCATGCAACATTAATGCATTCTATTTCGATATAAAGCAAAATTGAAGACTTATAATTGCGTCTTATAAAAGACAATAAAGAACTGTATTATGGATCTATATTAAAAGACTGGCATACTTAAGCATGCCAGGCTTTTAATAAATGATGAAATAAAGAAAGTTGAAAAACTATCTCCAATTAACATGAACTGCCAGGAATTTAACGCTTAAATAGATATTGATAGAAAATCTCAAGTTATAGCATCAATGACAGAAGCTATCCGCCTAGTGCTTCTGAAACAAATCCAAGCACATAATGTGAAAATCTTTCTGAGGAAGATAATGCCGATCAAATAATTCCCGAAAGCATGAGTCTAAACAGCTGATATAAAATGAACTTTTCTTTAGTAGTTTCAATAGTCAACTATTAATGACTTTTCCCCCGAATTAAAATGCTATAAAAATATGCGTTTATACGTTTTAATACGTTTATAGTTATATTTATATTAAATTAATTCAATTTTATCGCTATTTTGAAGGCTATTTTTCTCATTGTTCAATGTTATCGTTCGGTTAATGTTATCAAAATAATCATGCAGAAATAGTATCCCATTAAACGTTCCCTACTGCATGAATTGAAATTATGCGCAAACATAAGATTAAGTGTGCTTTACAAAAGTCATATTAAGGGGTACGCGAAAAAAATATTTGGGAATAGATGATCCGTAGGTTTGCCCTCAAACAAACATTGGCATATAAATAATAATTATTGTTTAATTGCATGCGTGAACAGTTGGTTTCAAGGATGCAGCACGAGTTGTAAACATGTATTTAGAATATTACATCTATAATACGAGTATGCTAAATATATTTAGAATTCCCGATGCAATGTTAAGCGTTAGCATACGTTTTCCTATTTTTTTCAGTCTGTTCTCAGGTTACCATATATCAGTGTTCAGTTTTCTTAGTAAGATGGCTTGCAAAACTTTTCTTTTATCTTCATATTTGTGTGATAATTTTATTTATTAAATATCTCGTTCTTCAAACTTAGGTTACGTAAAATTTAATTCAGCAGCAAAATTACAATATATTTAAAAACAGAATATATTCAGAATTTCCTACAGACAGTCTTGCGCGCTGGAGATAAAAACATTTTTTTTTTCCCCCGTATAGTGTTTCCACTATTCGCTTTGAAATCGCAGAGTTTGTTTATCAAAAATTCGTTTAAGTTTTACAAAATATGAAAGAAATAAAAAGAAAAACAAAATTTGAAAAGTTTCAGATATTAAATTACGTCCAAAGGAGCGTTTTTTTAATATTTTGTGTGTTACCTTTATTTATTAACTATCATGTTTTACGTACTCAAACTATAAAATTCAGTTCAACAGCAATATGGAAAAATAATTTAAAATGAGCATATCTTTAGAATTTCCGATACAATGTCTCGTGCGCTGGAGTTTTTTTTTTTTTTTTTTTTTTACAGTATTGCCATTGCTCGCTTTGAAATCGTTGAGTTTGCAGTCAAACATTCGCTGAAGTGTTACAAAATATGAAATCGATAATAAAACAAATTTCAAATTCCAAATTAGGGCTTCCATAGAATACCTATATTCTATGAAAATTACGTTATTCAAATTTTGATGGCTCTAGGTACCGTCGTTTTATCACAATGCAAGAAACATACGTACATTCATGCAGATTTTTCATTATTTAATTTCTTTAAATATAATACAGGGCTCTAATATTTGGTGGCAGCAATTCGAAAAGTGATTCGCCGTTTTAATTTTCAGCGCAAAATGCCAAAACGAAATTAATAGTGCTTCAGGGCAAACTGTCCCTCGAATATACAGCTATGTTATGCAAAAGTTAAGGGTTTTAGGAACGTCGTTTTTACACTGTTGTGGACGCAATGCTGAGTCAATACATGAGATAATTTAATAATTTAAATAATAATGGCTTAAGAATATTTTAATTCACAACAATAAAAGAAGACGTTAGAGTTACAGCATCAAAGCGAACTTGTGTTTATTTACTTTTTTTTTTTCGTTGTTGTTGTTGCCAAGCTAGAGAAACTAAACTTCGCAACAACAAAGATAATATTATACGCAGAGGGAGCTGCTATAACACATTGCGAGGAAAGTACGTACATGCACACAGATTCTTATGTAATTGCTTTAAAGATAATAAAGGGCGATAATATTTTGGGGCAATAATTTCAAATGAGATTCACCGTTTATAGTTTTCGATGCAAAATCCCGTTTCGAGACTAATAGCCCATTTGGGCTAACGCTCGTTTTCGGCTAAAAAAATACTGTTGCTGTTCACAATAAAGGGGAGAAAAATACATCCTTAGCTTAAATATTTTATTGCAGAAGAAACAAAATTTCTTTTAATAACTAGACAATACTTAAAGCTTTCCAACATAATAAAGTAAAATTAAAAGAATATTGTTATTTAAATTAAGATAATACATTTAAAAAATTTTAATTGCATTCATAATGCTTAACAGCATCACGAATGCCATTCATTTTAACCAGAATTTTGAAATTTTTATCTATTATGTTACACAGATGACAAGCTGTGGTATTTAAAAATATTTTAAAGAACATACTCCAATATATATGTTGAACTGCGTGAAATTTGCAGATTAAATAAATTTCAAGTGGAACATAGCAGCTTTCTTATAGTGTTAGTATCTATTCAGATTTTAAAATTCTATATTTCTGCTGTCTTTTTTTGTTTTTGTTTTTGTTTCAGAAAAGTACAATTTAAAACTATTTCATAATAGTTTTTAGTTTTGAATTAACTTTCATTGAATTTAAAGGCAAAAAGAGATAAAAATAAACAAACAGCCATTTTGAAATTTATGCAGCTGAGCTAAGTCGACGACGTACTTTCACAATAAATCAGCATTGTTAAAGTATAGGTAGCTTTTGTTTCCTGCTTCAATAAACAATGCGAAAACACGTACTTTGTGTGTCTCCGTTAAATGGCGATTTCCAAGCATTTGACTTTAAATGGTTCACGAAATGCTGAATAGACTGTATTCAAAGAACACTGTAAATACAACGCATCTTGAAAATTTTTGTTGGTCTTCAAAATGATAGAAAACAACTTAAGGCCAGGTATGTCAGAAAGTAACAGGACTGAAGTAGTTTTGGAAAATGGACCTACTGTTGAAACGGATGCAAGTATGTATGTTTTAATGTATGTTTTAAGACTTTTTACTGCTCGTTTTATTATCTCATGAATATAAGGTAGCCATATATATGGTTATCTTATATTCAGACACGTTTTTTAACATATATTACCGACAATGTATGAAAGTCGGCATTCTACAGAATACTTAGCTGTTTTATAGGATGCCGAAAACTGGCCGGCGGTGTATGAAACGCTTAATATTTTATGCATTTCCTAGGCCTTCTATGGAATGCCAAGCGACAAGCCGCCAAAGTATGAAGTATATCTCCAATTCGTTTCAAACACCCATGCATTTAATACATTTATTACATAATTCTATACATTTTCACACATTGTTTTCTTTAATAAGAAAGGCATAAATTTTGTTTTGTACAATTTTCATCTTTCTTAAATATTTTGAATAAAAGTTTTTTAATGACATTATTTTATAATTTTAAAAATAACATTCGCATTTTTGGGGAATGCACGGATTTTGTAATAGCATTATCGTGATTTTTTTAATACTTTATTAAAATAGCATTTGTCATTCTCTGGAATGCGTAGGTATTATATACTATATCTACAGAAAGTATATAATAATTCTAATATTTTATACCTTGCTAAAAATGGCCAGGCATTCCATAACATGAGTAAATATTCTACAGAATGCCAAGCGTTTCATACATTGCCTGCGACATTTATATGTCCTCAGAAGTCTTATCCTGCCTTTAATTTTTGTAACTGTTAGTCGGTTACATTTATTTACAATGCAAAATTGTTTTAAATGATGCATTTAAATGATTCATATTTTTAAACTAAAGAATAATTTTATAAAAATTACCACATTTAACTTTTTATGCCGTCTCCCGATACTTATGTTCAAGAAAATTTTATACTCATTATGAAAAAAATAAAAAAATAAGATGTTTAACTTCTGAGATGTTTAACTTCGCAAAATTTGAAATATTGGACGTTATTTTCAAATGAGTTAATAAATAAATTGTAATAATTCGAGATTTTAATTGTTCTATATTCTGTGAATATAATCTTGATTTTGATAATAAAATATGACTGATCAATATTTTTCACAATAATCTGCATAGAAATTTTTGTCACTTAATCTCTTAACATTAAAAACCTTTTTATAAATTGATATTTTATTTTTAGTTATGAACACATGCAAATATTTCTATGTTCTATTTACGCGCTGTTCCTAAATATGATCCCCGACTTTAATACCAAATATCTCGGTCAATTTTTATGGTACGGGAATCAAACACTTCGCGCTTCATGTTTTATAACGAATAAAAGATTTTCCTGAATATATATATATAGGGACCATAGGAATATATAAAAAGTTTAATTTCGTATTTCATACACAACTGAATATTTTCAAACTTAACATGCAAATCACGCAGGTGAACCGCTCAGGGATAAACAGCTTTCTTGTGGATTGTCACAGCTTTCTCTAAGCTACAAATAAACAGACTCTTTAAACGCAACTTAACCTTCATTCTGGTGATGGTTATAGAAGAAATAGAGGGTAGGGGTAAATGTTTACAATCAGGTGCCCTTTTTTTTTTTTTTTTTGGCGATTCATTTTTGACGCCAAGATCGGCGCCAGGAAGGCACAATTTTAAGATGGCCGCTACACAAAAACAAAATAAAAAGTCAAAGAATTGCACAAACTCTGTGTCCATCATGTCAAGGAGGTTAGAATAGAAGGAGGGAGGGTTCGCAGTTTCCTCCACTATCGGGGAATGAAACTCCACCGAACAAGCGGCGTCCATGTTTGTAACTTCAAAACATTGCATTACGGCAGTGAAACGTACGTGTTTCTAAGCTGTTCCGTGCATGTAATTTCCAGTAAAAATATGTGAAATTTATAATGAAATGCTTTGCTATTGTTGAACTTTTGTTTTAAAGCAATAAAGATGATATCCATAATTTACTATGAACAGAAAATTATTAAGAAATAGTTCGAAATCTAAATGCATGTGTATAACATTAATCCTTTAAAAAAGATGTTTCTGCATATTTCAAGGATTTGTTTAGGTTTTATTAGCAGCCTGTTGGGTGTACTTTTCCAATTTTTTGTTTAAGAAGTGATATTTCTGATTTATTCGCAATATTATCATAATTTATTAAAGAATTATTTCATATACATAGTTTAAGAGATAGAAAAGAAAGTTATTTTATTTTAGTATGCTTAAATACTCCAGATTTAAGCTGCAATACACTAAAACAGAAATTCACATATTTAACAATAATTATCTAAAAAATAGTCACAGGTTGCATTTTTTTAAATGAAAGTTTTAAATATAGCCTTGTATAAATATTAATAAAATAAAACAGATTTCTGTGAATTTAATGATATCAGTTTATTCGTATTTCATATTTATGAATCTCATAGAAATTGCCTTGAATTAAGCTTAATTACAGAAAATATACCTATATAAATTCTTGGATACGTCTTTCCACATTTTCAATTGTATTAATATTTTACTTACTTTTATCGCTATACTGCCCAGAAATTTGTAAGTTTATGCAAACAATTTTTTAACAACAGAATAGTTTATCTTGATCAAATGCACGAATTATATTCGTAACAGTTCAGGAAACTTAAAAATGAATAATAATTAATACATGAAGAAAAGTATTACTTTATTTAACACCTTTACAATTCATAAAAATAGTAACAATTGTTTTCTTACTTTCCATGAAAATTATAAAACGTTCAAATTATACAATTTAAATCTTAGCATATATCATTGTATATTAAGGAACGAAGATACCAGCTATAAACAGAAACATTAAAATGTATTTAACATATTTTGATCATTATGAAGTCCTTTTTTTTTTCAAATCTGGAAAGAAAACAACACGACATTGTGATATTTTTCAACATATTTATCAAATTACATAAAAAAAGAAATCAATACTTACGCGTGGAAAATAATCCCAGGAATCTTTTTCTAAATTCTATTTGTGCATCCATATGCAACACAAGCTGACATGCTTCACAAAGAAATGAAAAAAATGTTGCAATTACAGACTTCCTTGAACAAGTCACAGCGATAACAGTAACATGGCCGCCAAGCTTCACCGTGTGAGTTGAACCTCCTTCTATTCTAACCCATTCTCCTATCTCTCCTTCCATTCTAACCTCCTTGGTCCATGTACACATCGATCTGTTTTCACTTAAGCCCACCACCGGCCGAGCGGTAAAGTCGCTGAACACTGGTAGTTCGGTCTGAGGTTTGAATCCCGCGAACGGGCTAGCTGCATGGGCGTTTTCGTGGTTTTCCCCATGTGTAACGTGTATACGAGCCAGTTTCCCTTAGAAAGTCCTCCACGAAGGCACCCCTCCCCTTATGCAGATAGCCCTCGAGGCTTTGCCATAGTCACACACACACTGTTTTCACTTAAAGAATATCCCAGATTTGCACAAACTAGGCATTGCGTACTGCCTTAAATTTGTTCATGTACACACCAATCTATTTTCATTAAAAAAAAAAAAAAAAAAAAAAAAAATCAGGAAGCTAAAACCAAGTTAAAACTATCATGGTAACCAGAAATGAGGTTTTCATCGCCAAAATTTAAAAAATATATATATATATATATATATATATATATCGCTAATCGAAGGGGTACCCAATTCTACACTAGAGCCGGCTCGGTAGGAATTCTAGGAAAGAATTAATACAAATATAACATGTTAGCTCAAATAATTCTTTTAGATATATCACGTAAGATACTGTGTATTTATATTTAATTCTTTCTCAAGCTACAGCCAGACGTTCACGGGGTTAGGTAAATTTTAAACGCCTTGTGCAATGTGCTAAAGTGGCCTTTGTTATACCCATGTTCTTAAGACGTACATTTGAACTTACGACAATGATACTTTTCGAAACGTTCCCAGAATGGGCTATATAATACGTTCTACAATACGTGCTAGAGTGGTGCATGCTAAAACCAGGTTTTTAAGATGTGCATTTCAGCGTACAATACTGGTACTTTCGAAATGTTTCCAATATTACTCACGATACGCTTAGAAGAATTGCCTAGCTTTCAGACATACATCAAATTATTCATTTTGAACAAATATCTTAACCGATGAGTTTTAGTTTGCTGCAGTATTGGTTATATAAAAAATATTCCTTGAACATCTACATTAAAACCAAGTTTACTCGTTAAATATCATAAATATAAAAGTTATTTGTTACAAAAAATATATGTAGTATGCTACTACATATTTAATATAAATTACGCAGAAGTTTCAAAAATATTTATAACCAAAGTATTTATGTTTATTCCTTTAACATAATTAAGGAAATAAACAAAAATATTTTGATTGAATTTTTGAATAAATAAAAATGATGATAAATCATTTAAAAATAAAAAAGGAAAAAATTGAGAAAAGTGTGGGCACTTTTCTTCTGAAGCGGCCTTGGCGGGAAGAAACGGCGCTAGCGCTATTCGGACTTACGAAAGTGGAGTATGTTGCCAAATGGTGTAAACACCCATGAAAAGGAAACCTTGAGGTAAACGACAAAACGGCCGCCCAGACGGTATAGTGGTTAGGGAAGCTTACTGCGATACCCAAGAGCCTAGGTTCGAATTCCGGAGAAGGTATTGATGTTTTTAAATGTATAACATCTTTACGGTATGAGGGCCCTCTAAATGCATGGCTAACTAAAAATAATCTCGAGAGGTTAGTGGCAGGGGAAGTGGTGGTGGAAAAACCCTCTAACCCAAACCCCTGGGTGCTCTCCATAAAAACTGGGGCGGAAATGAGTCGAAGTCGTACTGTCACCTATATGGTGCTCAAGGCTCTTGCCAACGACAGGTGCAATTCTGCACTCCTTGCCACGATGAATTTTGTGAGCTTGTTCTGACGTTACTGTCAGGCAAGTGAGATAAGTCGCAACAAAACAACAAATGACAAATTGGCAATTCATTCAATACCAATTGAACGCAAGCTATTTTGTAAAGACATTAGGTCTTTTTT